AACAAAAAGAGTCTGTGTGGCTTAAACAATCAGATCATTGTGGCCCTATTCCCAACAAGGGTTGAACCCTTTATCTTCTGATGACTGCCTACTATTTTTACCCCACCACTGTACTATACCAGACTCAGTCACTCTGGTTAAAATAGTCAAAGTTTAATCCAAACTGGGCTCTCATTATAAGGTTTGTGCATGCAATTGAGACGTTATCAGTATCAGACCAAACTGATATGTACTTAATATATCAATTATTCCAAAAGAATGCTGTTCCCTTTACCTGTTTCTACCTCCTTGAGCTGCCTGGAGAGCAGCTTCTTTTACACGTTTTTCTTTCTCAAGTTTTGCTTCAAGTTCTGTTTGTATTTCAATGCCATTGGATTTGTCTGGTTTAAAGACCTAAAAGGAGAAGAATACCCAGAGAAAGTTATATTTTGGTGACTGTTATTGAAAAGTTATCTCTAACTGATGAAAATGCAGTAGAAGAGAAAATATCCAGTGTCACTTGAAAAATAATTTAGCCACTATCATCATAATTATAGCCAAATGTACATAAAAAGCAAAAGAGTTCTTGGTTACATGATTATATTTTTAACATGGTCATAGACCATACTATTCACAGTTAAAAAAATCAGCTAAAATATTTTTAAATCATACAATCATATAAATGCAGTAACATCTTCTGATTGATTTTAAATTGTACACAATTAAAGCAAAAGGATATACTGCTCTACTGGTAAACTTACAGCAAATGGAAATAAAACACGCTAAATTACAGAGTTATTCTATACAATAAAACAAGTACATGTAAACAAGAATACCATTTCTTCATCAATTAGGCAACTTACAATAAATATATCCTATCTTGCCATGGAAAACCATTTATAACTTACATATTTAGGAGCCTGCAATTCTCCAATAGAGTTAAAGATGACATCTAAACACCTTGGAAGCAAGCCACTGTCACTGGGCATTCCTGTCATGGTGTGTGTCTTACCAGACCCAGTGATACCATAAGCAAATATCAAACCTGTGATTAGAAGGAAGCACAAAGACAGTGCCATCAGGAACTGGTAACCCCAAGAGTTTCAACAAGTCTCTTAACCAAGTCAACTAAGTAATTAAAAATTTTTCAAACTTGCTCTCTTTCTTTGTTTCAAGCCTCTTGAAACTTGACTTGAACATCTCAAAATGTGATTCAATCCTCAAAGTTTTTGAAAAACTGAGGATTGAAAAAAGTGAGGATCAAGTCTTGAGGGACTTACTTTTGAGGGGTACTGTAAGCCATGTGTTAAGCTTTTAAAAGGTGTTTTAATATCACCATAATCACTCACAGTGAGGTATATAAACATGTCTCTATTTGGACACAGAGAAACATGCAACAACTCGAACTGAGGGGTATAACATATTACACATTTCCTTTGAGATTTTGGTCATTTTCTGCAATCACTTAAGACTGACTCAATTTTGGCATACAGCCTCAACTTGGATGATGAAACATTGTTCTGAATTTTCCCACCAGCTAAATCTATGATTCCCATTCATGTATTTCAGAGTTTTTAAAAATGCTAAATAAAACTCTAGCTGGTTGATTTTGTTGTCCAGAATATACAGAGGTTTCTCAATCTAAGAAAATTAGTAGCAGTAAAAGTCAACTTGTTTGCCTTTGAAAGCACACCAAGTGTAAATCTAATACTTACCATTTTTACCATGAATTAAATCATCAACCAAGGGCATGGCCACATTATCATAAAGCACCTTCTGGGATGTCTTCTCATCATAAATCTTTTTGAATGTATGTTGTGTCTGGGTTTAGAATGATAATAAACACTTTCATATGAACTCTGTTAAGAGATTGTGAGACATCTTAGCTAAGTTACTTATACAGTGTATTGATCGGTTGAACTGTTCTGGTGTGACAAAGTGGTTCTGATCCATTGCATTTCCACTTTTAATATCTACATGCATTTTTCACACATGATGCTATTAAATTGAGATTTTCCTACTTACCTCTATTCGGTGGCCAGACTTGTATCCTGCAGAATTCTGGAAGAGAATTTCATCAGAATATTATCTAGATGTAACCCAGTGGTAACAATATGGTCAATCCAACATCTGAAAGGAAGCTGTACAACCAATCAGTTATTTTTTCCCATATGAGCTTCACAAAGAAACAGGAAAATCTGTGCACATCAGTACTCGAAAGGGGACCTTTAGTGAGGAGAGACACTTATTCTAAGATTTAAAGCATTTTAAAATTCACGTATGTTTCAATCACTCCGTTGAAATGTTTACCCCAACTTCATACCAAAACAGGAAAATTGCTGAGTAAAAGCAGAATACCAAACCTTCTAAAAAGCACAGATGCACAAAATACCGTTTTTTCCCCTTTTCTTATTTTTTGAACCGTCTCGCATAGCTATTCTACATGTCTAATGCTGTAAAAACTTCAGGCTTTGGATCAAGATGCTCTATTCATACAAGCTGTTCATGGTACACACGTCATTGTGCTTACCTTTGGCGCTGTTAGCTTTAACACAGTATCGCTGATAATGTGAACGCAAGATTCTTCTTCATTGTTGCCGAGAGGTCTGATTCGGCAATACACCTAGAAATAACGAAGGATTTGGATAACATTCATCTTGCATCTGCGTCTTATATTACCCTGCAAGATTGTAGTACCATCGCAGAAGAGGCTTGCGGACTTTCATATTTACTTTTCGAATTCAGCAGGTCATGGAGGCATTGTTGCTTTAGCTAGCTATCACACTTACTTCCGATTGTGTTTCTTTGACACAATTCTGGAACATGTACCCTGTTTTGTTACGTGAATATCTTAAACGGATCACAATTTACGCCACACTTCTCGTTTTCAGTGCCGCACTGGCAATTTGAACAAGGGATACATGTAAACCCAACAACCATTTTGCCGGCGCATCGTGCGTCAGACGTACTATACCTTCAGTAGATTCACAAAGATCCTTCATGCTGTCGCTTAAACGAACAAATTACCGGAACGTATACGACCTTTAGATGAAAAGTCTCCTTTCCTTACCTCGACAGGATCCTTGTTGCCTGTAGGTCGTCTTGGTGTCTTCGCACTGCGCGGGGTCTTCGTCGAAGAAGGAGTTTTCGGGCTAAACAGAAACACGAGGCAGTTTAACATCAAAACAACAAATCAAATTACTTTAAATATGTTTTATACTTACATTGGTCGCATTATTATCTAAAACAGATGATTTCCACCATAGAAATTGGCACAGAGTTTCCAAATAACAAGTCGAAAATCAAAATGTCGGTCCAATAATTCTTGAATCAAACCGCCCTGGCGGTGTTGGTTTAAACCGACCAATCAGAGACGTGTATGAAATTATATTTCTTGAGGAGCGCATACTCCATGTAACGACCGCTGTCAAGATTTCATGTTTTGCAGGCTCAACTATGATTTCTTGGGGACTGCTTTGCGGTCCATACTTAGCTTTTTTTTAATCATTTTGATTTATTCCAATTGCTCGCATTAGATCTTTGGTACCCTTTTAAGATAGAATGATCTTCATATCAAAAGCAAGATTCAGATGGTCACGGTGTGTTCAACTGGCACCCGTAAGAAGGTAATGGAGAAACGTTATTTGTTCTGTCTCAATACTATCACCAGCGCTAGTCATTGAAAAGATCTTTCTTCCCCCTCGAAGAAATAGAACCAAAGACCTCCAGCCGCGCCATGAAATGAGGACTCACTGGTGAGATAGGTCATTGCAAGGTTCAAGACCTCGCCAGAGTTGTAGGGGGTGAGGTGGGGGGTGGGGGGCTGAGTAGATTTGTGGCACGTGTTAAAAGCTGGAACGCTAGAACATGCCGGAACATGCTGGAACATCCCTAAACATGCTGGAACACCGAACATGTTCCGGAGTACCAGCATGTTCGGTGTTTCGGATTTTAGCTGATGCCAAGAGTTGTGATGTTCAGACCTCTAACCTCGACATTAATTTGTTTTGGACAAAAGCACACAAATATGGAGTTCGTTAAATCGATCTTGTGGAGCCACTCCTAGCACCAAGTCAGATTGGCACAGGTACATGGGAATATATCCTCTCATATACAAGTAGTATGCTCTGTAGACAAGGTACACAGAATGAGATTTAACTAAACTGCGTCGACGCTCTTGGACTACGCAATGTCTGCAGCTTTTCCAAGGCTTCTGGTTGACGCCCTGTTCATTTGAAAACTTGAAACTGCCTACCAGGGATTCAGAAGCCTGGAAACCATTGGCTGGTTAGCAGGACATGCACATTCCGGCAAAAGTGTGTACCCTTCCTGCAACCCAATGACACCTACGGACATCGAGAGCGCCATCATTTGAGGGTAAAGTGGTCGTGAAAAACTACCAAAGCAATTTGCCTTTATCAAAGCTTTTTATGTAATAACTCAGATGCACTGAACATCCCATCACCGGTCATCACTTCTCATTTTCAAACCTCTGATCTGTGCCAAGTTGAGGAATAAAAGAGAGCCATGGACGAAAAGGTTAATCCTTAATTTAAAAAAGTTCCAATTTGGGAATGACCTCAGATCGTTGATTTTGACTTGCTGAAGTATAGTAAATATCAAGGACCGGAGATTACTATATTAGCTCCTTGACCAACCCACTCTAAGCTTGTTAACAGTAACATTCATTGATAGATATAACTGGCAGAGTAAGATACAACATGGCTAAGCTTTCAGAAAAGTGACCAGAACTCCTGATTTGAGGGGACACACTGGCAGACGGTTTCGAAAGGTATCATCTGGGACTTTGACACGTGACCTTGCCGTCACGTTTTTGTTTTGTTTTATTATTGTTTGGTACGCACAAACGGCTAACCAAAAAACATACCAACAATAAAAAACTGCAGCCACTTTCACTAGATTTAGTGAATGACTGTTGTCTTAGGCAAAAATCGATTTTTGCTGTGGACTGATATTTTTCCAAACCAAGCTATGACTGGCCATATCGATAAAACAAAACAAAGCAAGTGTGAGAGATATTGATCGTTTTATCATAATCACGAACTCGAAACTGATTGAATTAATTGAATAGTATGCTAGCTTCCACCCGACATCAACTTGTATTCGCACTACTAAATGAAAACTAGGACCTTTACTAAAACTATTCATTGTGGATCCTAGCACGATGCCCTGTAGACCGAATCAAAATTTTAATTAGCTGTTGTCAAGTGAAGAATCGTGCGGTTGCTTCAAAAACTAAATTGAAAATATAATTTCGTTTGTAGACACACTAATCTCCTTTAACAAAGACCGCCATCTACTCTCGTTTCAGAAAGGATTAGACTGTGCTCCTTTTAGGCTTCTTCTTACACGAACCACAGCTTTGAACTTCATTTAATTTTAGACTGAGGTGTAAAATCGCCACTCGAAGCCGAATTGAAGATCGCTACATCAGCCGGATCAAAGGTAAAAAAGAATTGTAGCAGGGAGTTTCAAGCTGAGTGGTCAGGTTTGGTTTTTTTTTTCATCATTTAGACAATATGATATAGATATCATGTAGGTTTTGCAAGGGTTGACTAAGAACAATAAGAGTACCGTACACTCGAGCCTGAGTTGTAAGCACGGTTCGTCTTTTGAGAAGTTGCAAACAAAGCTGTTTCGTTGGTTCCTTTTTTGACACAGGAATCTAGCAGAACCTGAAGTTCCTTTCTTTTCAGCGGAAATATCCATCCATGAGGCACAAAGGGACCTTTCTCACGCGTTGGTGGTAAACTGTTAGGATTTATTGATTTTAAAGAACCGTCCGGTAATAGTTCACCTAAAGGTGGAATAAAAGTGTTTTTTTCCACGGAGATCGATTTTACATTTTATTAAATCAGTATTAAATAGATATATAGAGTAGTACGAGCTCTCACGTCTCCCTTGTTTGGGTAACAAAAGATCCTTCGGGTCTGCGCCTAGCAACGCAAACCACGTCGTTCGGGTGGATCTCTCTCGATTAGTCTGCCTTCATTTATGTCCTTCTTAAGCGCCCTTAAGTTAGTTTGCGTGTCGATCGGTGCTTATGTAAACATGAGACCACGATTTTGCGAATTATCTTAATTACTCGTAGTATCTCTCACGAACGATGATTACAGTAATGGCAATATCTACCGGCATCGATCTGATGTCCTGAGTGAAAGCAAGATGTATGCATATTGCTAGAAGTGGAGTTAGTTGATAAAAACGACTTCAACCTCGACTTTGAAGACAGAATTCCAGTTCCTTATGCAACTGAAATAACATTAGTGCAGGCGACGCCCTAAATTACTAATGGTTACAAAATATTAAACGTTTGCTTTTCCTTCAGGCGGAAGAATTTAGTAGAACCCGGTGACACTTTTCAACAGAGACAGTAAGTGTCACTTTTAAAGCTCAACACGAAACATTGTCTATAATTCAACAATCTTTCGTCTGGAAAAGAACCCTTGTTCTTTCTTAGTTTACTGATACTTTCCGAGTCTGGGATCACCAAACAAATAATTGTGACTTGTAGGAGATAGGATGCATCATAGAACAGCAGCTCATTCATCCTAGCCTGCAGACCCGGGTAATTTTTTGCGTTTTACAGGCGAACTGAGCGCGGCAAGCGCTAGTTACGCGCGAGGGAAAGAGCGCGACCAATAACAATAGCGTGAGTACAGGCATTATTTTTATTTATTTATTTTTTTTGCGCTTCTTCTCTCGTGCATGACTCGCACTTCGCGCTTGCCTCGCGCTTTTCTCCCGCTTTTCTCAGTTCGACTGAAAAACGAAACAGAGTACACCTGTTCTTAAGGCTACCCTCATTCAGATAAAAAGCCTTCTTCTCAATGCAAGGTCCCAACGTTCTCGAGCGAAGAGGAGGAAACTTTAATTGCTGGGTCGAGTTATGGTCGACCTGCGGCTGATAATTTTTCTGCTTCTACGCATGCAAGGAAAAAATTCGATCGACCAAAAAAGATTGATGCCGATTGCCAATTCGATCAAGTTGAAATACCCTTACGAGATCTTACGACCTTGTTGTACTTTTCATTTAGACCTACTGGTTCTTGTGAAAGGCAAAAAGACGAGGAAAGTTCTTTTGTCACCAGTGCAAAACAAGTCGATTCGAGGAACAGAAATCTGACAGAAAAAGGTTTTAAAATTCTTACACTTGATACGTAATTGTGCGTAAATGTGCGTGCATTTAGCTTTTCCTTATCCAGCTAACATGGTTAATACGGCTGAGATTATATTTTGATGTTATATACGCCTGGTACATGATGTTTTTTTAAGATAGGTTCGATTGAAGTACATCGGCGGACTAAAACACTTTTTACAAACAGTATTGTCTACTTCAGTCTCGGTCATTGCAACCCTCTCGATCCAACATCGAAATGTTTGAAACAGTTTTATTCTAAAGATAGAAGTTTTTCGTCTTGTCGCGTTCTACTGAAAAACGCAGAATTTTTTTAATTCTTTAACCCACGCTTGTGAGAAGACGAAAAATATCTTTCTCTATTTCTTTACCGAGCTCAAAACTTACCATCTCGTTCATTCTATTTTTCATTCTGTAACCAATTTATGGCTGAATGCGTTGAGAATAATTTCGTCGAAGCTATGCGATGCCCTTAAAAAATATTAGCAACAAAAAAGTATAACAGTAAAGACCAATTGATAACTCCGACAGAGTAAACCGGACTCAGGACTTAGCTGAAACTGAAGTAAATGTAGAACTGAGTCTTCACCTTTTTTCTTCTTCCAGAAAACGAGTTGCAGGCCGAGATGATTAACTTTCACATAACAGAAAACCAAGCAGCTCACAAAACAGAAAATTACCCGGAGATTGAGGAGTTAGTACTAAGGAGAGGGGAGGTGTTTGATGTAACAGTCAAGTTTAACAGAGACTACAATCCGGACTCTGACGTTATCACGCTCCTCTTTGTCTCTGGTAAATGGGCAACAATGCAGTGATTTATTACGTAGATTCTGTGTTTGATACACACTACAAGCTAGTATAAGCACAAGCAAACACTGACGATATTCTCATCGATGCCTCTCCTCAAGCACTTTTTCCGATATGGATTTTGAGGCAAGAATTAGAACAGAACAAAATTCTCTATTTCGTTGCGGATCCCGTTTTGTTTTTGACGTCCAGCTTACGATGCTGTGCTGTTTGGCCATATTTTCTGGCTATCAAAGAGTTAGGATTAGAGCGTTGAAACAATTCTCATCAGAAGGATATAACCTAGAATAGGTTACACGTTTCTGCCCGCTTTCTTCCTATGGGAGACAAGAACAAAAATCTGAATAAGTTAACAATTGTGCTGTAAACATTTCATGTAGACCCTAAACTGGCTCTACAGTGCGACCAAGGTGGCCTCATTGATTTGCGGAAAGTTTTACTGTTCATGTTATTTGTTTCCCTTTAGTTTTGCTTTACAAGGAGCTTACACCCTTCTCAGCTTTTGCCATGGAATGCGCTTTTATACCAGAGAGATCCAAACCAAGGATGATTTCTAATTCTAGTTGTAACTGTCACATCCTTTCGAAGAACTTTCCTTCAGGTTGACGCATAACCAACTTGATTTTTGCAGACGAAGATAATCCCAAAAGCAGAGAAAACAGTGTGCGCATCAAGATTCAAGATATCCTTCAGCTCTCGCAGTGGGGAATGCAACTTAAAGAAGCCAACAAAAAATCAATTCACTTGTCAGTCATGACGTCAGCGCAGGCAGTGCCCAGTCGTTATGGCGTCATGGTAGAAACAAAGTCCAGGGAATCTTCAGGAGAAACAGCTTTGTATCGATGTAAAAACAGAGAACGGATTTGTTTAATCTAACCCTTTGACCCTTAAGGGACGTAACCGTTTGATGGAAGACGTCTAGTTAAAACAGTAAAACTTCACCAATTCCATCTGAGCTAATTAAAAAAGAAAAGATCGTGCAGGTTATAATAATTAGGCGTTGCTGTATGTTTCACACGTACGTTGTAGATATTTCGATATAGATTCCAACGTTTTTAAATATACTACGTACAACGGACAATAAACAGTTTTATTTTCCCCTTTACTTTAGAAATTTATCTACAATTTAGAAAACCAGGATTCTTTCCATGATTGCAGAACTTGATAAACACTGAAAAAATTTAAAGTTTTGTGAAGAAAATGAGTTTCCGCCCTCATCAAGACTACCGCGTTTCCCAGTTTTGAAGCAGACTTTTTCACATTATGGCAACTTTTGAAATGTTCTAGTCTCTCTTGTTTTCGCCTCCCTCCACGCACCGACAAATACGTGGTAGTTTTAGACGAGCTTTAGTCGATTTCGCTACTTTTTAAAAGGTAACTACCGATACTTATTCTTGCATTCCTCTTATTTGAATAATTTGAAGTACTTCTATAATTTTAGCTTGGGAACCCTCAAATTTTGTCAACACAAATTCTTTAGAAATGGCAACACATAATTGTTTTAACATTCAAGTTCGTAACAGTTACCTCAAATGTTGCGGCCTCATGCACTCTATTTAATCTTAACTAATTACTAGTACTCCAGATCATTTTTAAATTCATCTTGGGCTGATAACTCAAATGCATAAATTTTAGTTGAGGTACTTCTTAGTTTTTCTTCTTTTCTCATGGGTGATTCTGCCGGAAATCCTACCGGATTTTTATTTCTGGCGTCAGTTCTTGTGCAGGATGGTTCTCCAGGGATGTGCGGCAAATGAGGCTTCACATCTGGCTGAACAAGAAGTGAATTATAGCTGGGATCAAACCGTAATGAATTCGGCTCCAGGTCGCTATTCTGTGAGGCAGACTCGTGCGGTAATGAATGCAGGAATGCATGGAAAGGTTGAACACGTATTTGTGGCCCTGAGGAGTCGCTTTTTATAGTCCCTGTTGCTAGTTGTGCATAGGACACTGGGATTGTTCGCGTGTGAACAAAATTTGACTCAGTATGACGATTGAAGTTATCATAGCGCACAGTTGGTTGGTAGTTGCTGTTATAATGATTCATCATATTATGCTTTTGCTGAAATATGTTTACTGAGTTGCCATGGTGACTTGAGCCTGTATGAGCTGGGTGTTGGGATTTGTTCTTGTGAGACGGATTCCAAAACGACGGCGGCAGATTCCTCTGCGACATGGGGATTGGAACACATGTTCTTCCTGAAGGAAGAAATTGAAAACTCAGTCATTGAGATCTGGCGACAACAAGCTGACAAACTTAGTCACAGATGAACGCATTTGAATGATACAAAATGCTTATTTTGAAATTAATCAGGCCAGTATCGGAAGAAAAAGAAAGTTTATTGGCTTGATCAGGAAAAGCTAGGTGAGTTTTAAGTGGCTTCAAGCGTCTTCGTTCTTTTTTTCTGGTTTTCTCGCGTATTGTTTCTTTGTTTAACCAAATGATTGACGAGTAAAAATAACGGGCCTGGGGATGAAAATAATTCCTCCTGACGACGCCAAAACAATCTTTATCACGTGGATTGTAACGCACTCCAAGTCCCAAATGTCACGTTATTCTAATTCTAATAAATACCTGAAATAACCTTCAATATTTCCCTTACGAGCGAGAAATTACGTGGAACCTGACCTGGGAAGTTATAATGATGATCACGCATTAGAAATTTGGGCAATTTTCTAACACTTAAGGATTTTAGCATCATCTAGCAACAAATTCTGCTGATTCGCCGTGACATGAGCACGATGGCGCTATGGTGCACTATATGTGTACTATGAGCATTGTGGCGCCTCAAGTTATGCCGTAGTATAAACAAACCATGTCATGCTCTGTCTCTTAATGAAGAAATTTTTTAGAGAAAACAACTCTAAGAATAAATTTAAGCCTTCGCTAAAGCTTCTATGTTACCTTGGAAATGGGAATCTTCCAAACTGTTCTCCGGGGAACTTGAACCAGGAAGACAGCACAACTCCGCAAAGGTCCTGGAAAAATGCCTGTCCACTTCTGCAGCAGGTTCGCCTCTAAAGTATAGTAGTACAACACCTCTTGGACTATATTGCGTTTGTGCAAATTCCATTTCTACTGTTTGCTTGTCCTTTGCAAATCCATCGTCGACAGCTGCCGCGAGGTTTGCTGAAGATTCCGTGAAATTTTTATCGCGGACATTTTCTGACTCGCTATGTTGCATTTTTGTGCATGAATGTTAAACACGATTTCAACTGAATACAGACATTTTTAAGAGATTCCCTCAGAGACTGCTCGCAAAAGGCGCTGCTAAGATGGCGATCTGTACCTCATTCGCACCCTCAGTGACAGAGCATGTCGAGGTCCGTGAATTGATTGAATTGTATCAAACCTTCTCGTGGGAAATTTGCGCGGGATAGAGCATCAGTTCGCAGTCTTCGGGCAATGGGTGAAAAAATCAAACAAGGCCGTCAAAACTGCGTGGAATCATTAAATAGCGGAAAGCGCCTTCGAAAAAAGTTTTCGTGAAAATGCAGCCATTGTGCTAGTGACACT